CTATACGCTAAAAAACAACATTCTGCGTTCCATAGAAAAACTAGGATTAGTAGCATAACATTAACCGAATTAGCATAATTGACCCTTGGTCAAAAGAGCAGTCTATCAGAGGATGCTGTGATGCCAAATATCTAGCACGTAGTCGATCGTAGCACAATTTTACAATATTCACATATATTCTGTCTTTAATTGCAGAAAGCTTGCATTGAAAGTTTGGTTTTGAGAAATGTCTTGGTTACTATTTATTTGGCTTAACTCCAAATAAGTGAAAGTGTGTGGCGAATAACTATAAATGCATGTCGCCCCAGAACATGATGTCGTAAGGCTTTAGGGATAGAAACAGGATAGACGCGGCTGAGCCTGGAGCCGGAGTTGACTGACAGTAGGTTTCACCAGAGACGTTGTCGACGTTGCAAAGGCTTGACCATGAGACTAATTCAGAGGCTTTAGCCTCGAGTTAGTCACTCAGACGCTCGTGTTTGGTCAAAGAATCAGGTTCACTTGTCTTTTTGACGCTAAAAATGACAAGACTCACTGACGATGCCAGCGAAACGTCTGGGAATGTACCACGTCCACGGTCCTACTCTAAAAATGACGACTCAGGACAAGGTGCGTTCCTTTAAGTCGTCCTACCAACATGACGGAGTTGCGAAAACAAGGTCAAACAATTTCTATTAGTAGATAGGTTTGCTCGTAAACGTGGTCCATGAAATAGAGGCTTGACCATGAGGTTTATTCGGTGCACATGCTGCAGCACCAAATTAGTTTTCCATGCCAATTGGGAATCCAGACTTTAATGGCTTGTTCAGTGAGGCTAGCTTATACATGCTATCAAAGGCTTAAGGCAGAATGTGATACCTATTCCCTTGAGTAGCTCGGATAGGGTGGCAACGATAGAGTCAACTTACTGAAACGAGCAGATGAGGGAATGATTCTATGGAGCAAGAGGGGGGCTCTGATAATACCCAAAGAGAGAGGATTGGGGATTATACCGCAACCTTAAATCAACATTCTCGGCACAGTGGGAGGGATGTGGAAACCGACTGGGAGTGTGAATATGTTTCAAATAGGTTTAGATGAGCAAGTAAGAAATTGTGATATTGAAGTGATGATACGAGGATATGGGATTGGTGAATAGCCCAAGGCAGGAGAGATACCAAGAATGTTTAGCAGACAATTGATCAAAAGTTCGACTTCGCTTGTCTCTTTGACGAGTTGTAATATGGTGCTACGAATGGCGAGACTCACTGACGATGCCGGCGAAACGTCTGGCAATGTACCACGTCCACGGTCCGACTTTGGAAATGATGATGCATACAATGGACTCCGGACTAGGTGCGCTCCTCTAAATCTTCCTTCCAATATGACAAAGTTGCGCAAACAAGGTCAAGAAGGTAGATTTTATCATGACGGCAAAACTTATGGGAATGTACCAATTCCACGTGCCAACGTTATGACAACCAATATAGCAGAAGACTTCGAATAAACTACGCCCAATTGGGTCGCTTTTGGCAGCATAACCAATTTGCGAAAACGAGTTCAGACCACTTCAACACATCGAAAGGAGACTTTGACGAAAATAGAGGCCACAGCATCTTGCACTACATATCTACTTTTACCAATCTGTGCTGGGACAATATATTTGGCTACCTAAGCTCCGACAGCCAAGAAGGAGGGAGCTTCGAACGACCTGCTTAGTCTGCTTCACTCTTGTCAAGATCTACCAGTTTTACTAGCCTCTTGTGGGATTGATGGAAAATCTGCCCATAATGAAGTGAAGAAATGCTTGATTGCTGAATTATATTTCCCTTTTTCATGCAGTCCTAACGACCACATTGCCTCACCCACACCCGCAGCGGAATCCACATCCTGCATTTGGGGAAATTAAAAGGAAAATACGACAATAGCATCTTTTTGTGTCACGTGAAAAGCATGCTTAGCAAGGCGAAAACTACTTCCCCTGATTGTCAAGATTTTGTCGAGAATTATGTAGCGGCGAGAAACCATCTTTTTGCAATTAAATTTGCATACACTACTCATTTGTTTTGTTAGTAATAGTTTTTTCAAAGCATAAGTGAGCTGCTTGAGGTCTATGGATTTCAACCTCGGTGGGAGAAAGAATTATTGCCAAAATCAAATATTCGCTTTAATTTTTAGTGACTCTTAGACTTTCATCTGCAATTTTTAGTACAGCATCGCTAGTGGCGAAAGAACATGCATGCGTGAGTTTTTTGGGCAAAATTTTACGATCTAACACTTATCATTACCGTATCAGCAATCCCCTTTTGCCAAAACACACCAAAAACAGTGTATTTCCACCGCTAGCAAGTCGTTTTGGCCTATAATACAAAGAGGCCTCTATAGAACGCTGAAATCCAGCCATTCATACCCTTTGTATGAGATTATCCAAAAGTGGCATTCACTGATCCCCATTCGTGTAGTCTGATGATGCCTTGAAACGAAGATTAATTGTGTGTTAATTAATTCCTTAAAATACAATTATTGTAAATACTTTCTCATTCCGCATCCTATTGCATTGCCTGAAGACAACGGATGATTTACGTTATTCTTCAGCTGTTAGGCTTTAATACTACGTTCAGATTGACAGGCAGCCGCAAATCTGTAACTCATTTTTGCAGACGTTTCAAGTTAAACCAAATCAAGAAGATTATCTGGCTGTATCTTATATGCTATATATACTCAACTAAAAACAAAAATGTATAGAATGATCAAACTACTTATACATGAGTGTGTGTATATTTGTGGGTGTGCGAGTAATTACAAAAGGGTCGAACATCAGACCAGGTTCATCAAGGCTTAATGACCCAAATAAGAGCATGGCTGTGATTGCGTAAGTCCGGAAGCGAGTCGAATTAAAAGAATGACATGTAAGCCTGTATGTGTGTAGGACAGGTTACAAGGACAGCATCATGATCATCAAATTTCAATGACTTGGATTACGTGATCTCGTACTTCTGGTTGGGTATATGGTCTTAATATAACTGCTTAGATGAATGTGAATGAGTTGATAATAACAACCGGAATCAGTTGTGGTCCTCCAGTGAGGCGTACCAACGAATCTCTTTATCATGCAATTTAATACAAAATAAAAGTCTGCGACAAATTAAAGACATGGACTTGAGCGATGGGCTAAATGGTGGTACGAGTGTGTTTAGCTGAATTAACACATGTAGTTTACATGTTCCTGCTGGTTCGACCTAGTTTTCACAAATTGATCGGAGCAACAGAGAGACATGTGGAACGTACCTAATCCTGTGTCTTCTGTCATACTTTTTAACATTTACACAAGATGCAACTATGTGTTAACGATGAAGCCTCTCATTGACGATGCTGGCTAAAGATGCCGACGAAAATTCCGGGAATAGAGCAAGTCAACCGTCCTATGCTGGAAATCATCATCAATACTATGGGAGAGGGCGCAGAAACAGGTACATTCCACAAAGTCGCGAGAACTAGGTCAAACCAATACCATACAGCTAAAGGAGACTGCGATCAAACAAAGGGCCACACGATATTGGTCTCCATAGATACGATTTAAATGTTTCTGATAATTGCAGAATAGACGATTGACTTGAGCATTTTAATATAGCCGTTCAGGTGTTTTGCTTAAAATGCCTCCAGAAGTTAAAGTCCTAAATGCGATGGATAACCAGAGGAGACCTTCACATGCTTTTCGCGATTTATATTATAATAGATGAGGTTTTTTACAATAAAATTAGAAGGTGTCATGATTTCATTCAATTTCGCTGACTCTACCTCCCAAGAGGCTCTGCATCCCAGCTGGTCTACAGTTTTGACTTCGTCTCATCAGAACCCCAAACTGGGTTAAAAACCAAGTCATGCGTGTCGTGGCGACACGTGGCGCCCTCGACTGCATAGCCACGGAAGCCGGTGCATCAGAGCAGATCACAAATCACACCTTTCTGGTGGATAGTTCTATTAGGCAGATGTTGGTGTGCCATTGGAATAGGCAACGTTAATTCTATTCTGTATAAGATATTTTTTTGAAACTATCAATAACGTTTAAATAATAACTTATTTTTGAGTACAATTGTGTATGTTGGTGAGGTGGTGAGGTGAGGTCGAAACTACGATCAAGCCAGGAGGAGAAGACATTTTGGGTGGCAGAGGAGAGGGAAATTTAATGATACTGTCAGGCCTACTAATTTGATTGTAGCAAAACTGCATTCACATTGCATGGGTCACCTGAAACTACCTAGGCTGACGGTATTGTGCAAATGTTGAGTTCCATTGAAAGCCGTTATTATTCGTCACTTCAAAACTGGTAGCAAAGTCGACAGGACATAAGAAAGAATCTCTGTCTTTTCGTCGGCATTTAGAGAGAGGACGGCGACTTTTCTTAATTATTTAGCTTGAATATGGTTTTAAGAATGCTATATGAAATAAATTCACCCTATTTTGTTTGAGGCGATAAAGGACTGTTAGTCGAATTTGTGCACAATCCTATGAGGAGATTTTAAGTTTCTTTTGAATTTCATAAAACCCTGCTCCCCAAAAATACTCATATCCCGGCTGAAGAAGATTGCAGTCTCGATGTCACATAAATTGGTCGCATCAGCACTCTCAGCGGGACTCGAACCATGACAAAACGAAATAGAGTGGACACATCTCATATATATCATTTACCGGTAGTCTCAAAAACCTACTTGCAAAGCTTTCGTCCGTCATGTGACGAACATCATCAAAGCGCGGTAACATCGTCACAGCCAAATTCAAGCTAACGAGTCAAGAAAACTCCTCGTTACCTTGAATTTTATTGTTACGATGTTACCGCGCTTTGATGATGTTCGTCACATGAAGGACGAAAACTTAGCACCTTTTCACCGGAATCGAAGGAGATTTCCTCGGAAACAGCTTCAGCATGAATGTTCCAGTAAAGCCAATCGACAGCTGGTCAAGAGGAATCCTCCGTCGTCTTCTGGTGGGCTCGACCTCCGAATCTCTTCACCCAACACTTTCACTCCAAATGGAAGTAAGCCGAGGACGATTTCGCACAAAGCTACCCTCACAGCTTCTAATGGAACCAATTCATGTATCACTTTCATTCGCTTCTTCAAACGAAATGGAAAGTACTCCAACATCGAATGAGGATTGTGCGAATTGTAATAAGAACTCCTCGTCTCATCGTCCTGTGATCCCGATGAACCTGTGCTAATCTGTCGTCTGTAATATGCCAGATATCATCAGAACATTAATCCATACTTTGCGAACTGGAAATTCATGTCACAACATATCACTAATGGATTCTTCAAAACTCACTTTTTTTTCTGAAATAGTGCTAGTATTTGAGTAAGGACATAATGTGATTTAAGGATTTATATTTGAGTTTTGCTGCAATCAGATGAGTAGACCCCCAAAAGGATATCATATCCGGGGTGGAACTGTAGTTTTCATTTCACATGAACTATTCTCGTAGATACCACCAGAAGGATTCAAGCCAGGGTCGTGAGCCTTGTAGCGATGTTACCATTCCACTCCATTGCATGGTTATTGATACCAGCGGGTCTCAGGGCAGATGCTACATTCAAGGCAAGCCAGAACTCCCTTAACTTGCATTTCATAATGGGATTGTCGATCAAACAAGTATGTGCTTGCTGTATAGAATGTATTCACCTTATTTCGTTAATGGCCTTAAACGAAATAGGGTGGATACATCTCATATAACTGATTTACTGGTAGTCTCTAAACTATATTTATGTACGAAAGTGTGTTTGCTTTGACGGGGTTACTCATTTTCGATATAAGTAGCTTCCAAAAATAGCAAGGCAAAGTGAAATTGAATGGCATCAGGAGGCCTGTTCATGTGATTTTTTAGGAAAGCTCAACTGCCAGTCCGTAAATCATCTTAAACGAGCACCTTCAAGAGCAACAAACATTTAATTCAAGCATCTCTCATAACCTTGTCTCCCAAAAGGTTTTTTTCAATTGAGCTGGACTCTAGTTTTGACCCCATTTCATCATCTCATCAGCAACCCCGACGCGGTTCGAAAGCAGACTGTGTGCATCTTGACATTGGGCATTTTGATGGTTTCGTTGAAGCAGCATCCCCTTTTTTGAAGGTATCCGTCTCGACCGGAAGGACGATGACTCAGCGGGTACTTGCTGTAGTTGGCGGATCATGCCCAGATCAGATGCAATAAGGCTCCACTGCCGTATTTTAGATCTTTACAAAATTCTCTACAATTAATATTTTTATCCAAAAAACTGACCGGTCACCGGTTACCGCAAACGGCCGAACATCAAGTCGAATGACCTGAGTCCAAGTCCAGGTACAACCTTTGCCTGGTCCACCCGAGCTGCCTGCTCGCCCATCCATTGCACAAACCAACAATCTGGTTTACACTCACCTGAGCTCGACCGTAGGTGTCGCTGAATACCACAAAGTCATCTGCCGTGGCGTGAGCCTCGATGGTGTACTCATCCATACCGGGCACCATGGCCGGCATGATCTTGGCGAACTCGAGTAGATTGAGCACCATCGACTGTTCATGCAAGGTGAGCAGAGAGAGGTCACCGAATGTGTCGTCCAGACTGAGATTCAAAGAGGCGAAAGAGAATTAAATAAGGGCATTTTTCATTTTAAGTTGATTTTCAAGACTATCAGTAAATCAGTAGTATGAGACGTATTCACCCAATTTCGTTTAAGCTGATGAAGGACTAGTAGTAGATTTTTCCCACAATCATATGATCAGAGCTGACGCTTCCATTGAATTTCACACAGCCCTGCTTTCCAAAAGTCATTCTCATCCAGGCACCAGTGGACTGCAGTTTCGACCTCGTATCGGTCTTATCAACACCCCCAGCGGGAGTCGAACCGCGACAGTGTAGAATAGCACCTTGACACGTTAACATCTCAGCCACAGAACAGATGTCAATTTCGAGGAAAGCTAGGCCTTTTGCCATATCATATTCTTTGGTGGGATTGTCAATGAAGCAAACGTATTTTTTCTATAACAATAGACTACACTACTTATATTTCGTATGTAAGTAGAGTCTTGAGACTACCAGTAAATCGTTGTTTAAACATTCTACTACCCGTATTTCATCACCTTAAAATGAAATATGGTGAATACATCGCATATAACTGATTTACTGATAGTCTCGAAACTCTACTTACATACGAAACATAAGTAATGTAGTAGACTGTTATAGCAAAAATACGTTTGCTTTATCGACAATCACACCAAAAAGAATGTGATATGGCAAAAGGCCTGGCCTTCCTCTAAATTCACATCTGCCCTGTGACCCAAGAACACTCGTGGCAATGTGGTCGAGTGGTTAATGTGTCAAGCTCACATGCCACACTGTCACGGTTCGACTCCCGCTGAGGGTGTTGATAAGACCGATGCGAGGTCGAAACTGCAGTCCACTGGGGCCTGGACGAGAACAATTTTTGGGAAAGCAAGGCCATGTTTAATTAACTGGAAACGTAAGGTCTACTCATATCATTGTGGGAAAATTCTACTACCAGTCCTTCATCACATTATACGAAATAGGGTGAATACATC